AAGTGACCAGCCAAGAATTTCAATTTCATTTGTGTTTCAGAAATCTGAGGGATGCTGGCGTGCATGTTATTGGGCCCTGAACAGTGCTGATTTACACTGTTTTCAATGAGGCTTGAATATTAGTGGACTGTACCCTGTAAGCGTATCCCGAAAAATGGAAAACATGTAATTGAACCGCGAGTTTGTAACTCTTGATGGCGCTGTTTGATTAAAACACTTGGTGGCGCTGTTCACGATTTCTTTCCATCAGACTGTGTGTCTGGCTGGCTGTACGTACGGAGACGTCTGATGCCCGGTGCCCATAATCAACCAAAAAAGGTGGAAATTTTGAGGTAGGCCTAGGCTAAATGAACAATTCGATGAGGAATCTTTTTTTAGTAGATGTTCAACAAGTGGAAACGGAAACAGATCCATGCATTGATATAAGATCAGGACATAACTTGACACCCTGTCATGCTACCCCCAGAATAGCCCAGGTCGTGCGAGCCCCACTAGTGTGGCACGGATCACTCCCGATTTATCCTTAGCCACACATCCGTGTATGCAATTTCGTGTTGGCGTATCGAACATTCCGGCGCACCCACTTATCATCGTGGGCGCAATTTCTTTTGCACACGAACATGATTCTTGACCTTTCCGCTTTCTAAAAACCATTTATTGAATGATTTCACTCACGTTATTCAGGTATTTTCCAGTCTTTTTGCCTTTATCCATTTAGAAAGTGGAAAGGTCAAGAATCATGTTTAAGTTGGTTCATATAGATCAGTGGAACTGTGTCTTTTTACAGTAGCTGAAATCTTTTCCAGTCTGAAATGACTCATCATGCTAATCACAGACACATTTCTGCACAATTGAACGAAGGCTGAATGTCTTTACTGTCCACCAGTACATTGTGTGAATGATTGTTGCAAAGCTTGATAAATGATAGTACAAATCCAGTAGTTCAGTTGTGCCAAGTGTACATTTGCAATGAGGTGTAAGCCAGTTTTTCAAATTCAAAATATGATGTACAGTACCTAAAATAGCTTGTCAAGCTGTAATTATTTGCCATGAGGTCAAAGTTCATAAACTTATGAACTGTAATATTCTTTGGAAGGTGTTAGAAATGATTGTTGGCATGTTTTGTTCAAAATGGAGTATCTAGAATGCCCTCAAATACATACATTGTAAAAATTTTAGGGACTTAAGTTTGACTGAAGCACAGTCTGTTCAGAAGGCATATAATCTTGTTTTTATGTGCAGAAACAAGCAGCAGTGCTTTATGATGGATAGACATTCCCTTATCCGATTGGAACTGAGCCAATCACCACCTGTTTTGATCAAACTCCAGCAAGAGGGTGTGAGATGGCAGAACCTACGTGACAGAATTATGACATCAACTGAGTTGAAGGATAATCCCCTTCTGACAGATAAAGAAGGAAAGAGTAAATGGAGTGTGGATGAAGCCTTCATGAAATTCCTCCTGGATAGGTATGGATGCAAATTATGACCAATATAGCCTCAGACCAAGTCTTACCGTGGGGGGGGGACCTGAATTAGGGGAATATTTTACTTTGAAACTATCTACACCTTAAATGGTCATGAACATTTAACATTCTACTAATAACCAATAAACTGTAATCATAACTGTCCAAGCACATGGCATGACCTCTTTGATCAGGATTTTTAGAAATATTGGTCAAAATGAGTTGGATAAGTGTATGCCCTTCACCAACATGCAGACTTCTATCAATCTGTGCCCTTTACCAACATACAGACTTCTATCAATCTATGCCCTTCACCAACATACG